GAGGCGGCCCTGCATGCAGCTTGGGCCGCTCGAGCTCGGCAGCCTCCGACTGGAAGCGGCGCGACCGCTGCTGGAAGGTCGGCGGGTGGGTGAGCGAGATAAAGGCACCTTGAATATCTAAGAAGTCAGCGACACGAGGATGCGACCTAAGCAGACGATAGGCAAGCCGCACATCTTGCCGCCAGACCGCTCGAGCGATCGGCCTCGAGACCTGCAGTAACTTTCTGGGGTGCATAAGCTGCGACCTGAACAGGAGGTCCCGCGTCTCCTGGCCAACGATTCCCAACAAGTACTTGTAAGTTATGCTCTCGCTGGAACGGCGGCGACATCGTGGCCCACTGGGTCTCGTTGATCGGCCCTTGGGCCCGAGAAACAAAAGCAGGGACCTGGCACGCACGTTCAGGCACGCGTCGCTGCTCAGGTGGACGAGCGGAACGGGGGGCGAGCGAGGCGAGCGAGCGCAGCATGGCCCGAAATCTCTCTGTCCGCGACCGCCGCGGGCGAGCCCGCGGTCGTCGTGAGCGCGAAGTGCCGGCGGGCCTGCCGGCTGGGCATCGAGCAGAAGGCGCGATCTACGAACGCGACGCGGTTGCAGTGGCGGTCGGAGCCCGTGCCCTCGTCCCCCTCCAGCCCAGCCATCCGCGACAGCGCGCGACGCCGCGCCAGCGCACGCCCGTGATGACTGCGAGCTGAACGCTTCACCGCCGCCGACGGCGAGTGCGGCACCGGGGCCTCCTCGGCGGACAAGCTGCAGCCCCCGTTGGCCAGGGCAAGCACTCCGTCGGAAACCTCCTCGGCCAAGGCCAGGGAGCGGAGGATGTCAGTGGTGACCTCATTCACCACGCTCGTGGGCAGCTCGTAGTTGTGCACATCATAAACAATGAGCGTCGCCTGGTCAGAGAAGACAGAAACAATCCCTTCCACGAGCACCTCTGGGTCCACGACGACAGGAGACAGAGTAGATTGAGCAAGAGCAAGAACCAACATTGCAACGCCACCTGCGATCTTCGACTCCCCGAAACTGGCGAAAACCTGAATGGCCGGGTTGATGGAGAGAGCGAAAGCCTTCAACTGGATGGCATGCTGGCTGACTTCCTGCAACGGTGCTATGGACTCGCCTGGTTTCAGCCGTGCCATGTAGTCCCTCATCAGGCTAGCCTTCTCCCTGGCAGCCCGCAGCAGGGCGCGACAATTCCACGCGACGACACGAGGAGCGCGGACGGCAGCGCCCGCGCGAGGACGAAGATGCCGAAAAAAAGCGACCAGATGCTGAAGGCGCCACTGCTCCTCCGCCACTGGGCTGGCGAGGTGACGCGTCGCCCTGGCCAGCGCATCCTTGTCCATGTAGTTGCGACCGGAGCGAGTCAGCTCCCAGAATACCTTCCGGCGACGCCTGACCAGGCCCCACCTCGATGCGCAGCCGATCTCCTCGACCACCTTGCTTTTCCACTCATCGGGCAGCGGGTTCAACTCGGCACGACAGAGCTGGCGCCAGTACTCTTCAGGGACCACCTCGTCGAAGTCAGGCGGAATGTCCTCATCGGATGCATCACCAGCCGCACGTAGAGCACGACGCTTGCCAGGAGGAGGAACAGTAACGGGCCCGCGCGCGGGCGTGGAGCTCTTGCCTGCGCCAGCGGTTCCCGTGGTGGCAGCTGCGACAGCAGCGGCCTTCTGCGTGGGGAAGGTGGGCGCGGGCTTTGTGGGCCCTGGAAACGGCAGGGCCGTTTTTTCACCGTTTCCAAAAAATTGCCCCTTGAACATGGAAACGGCAAAAAAAAACGGCGACGGGAAACGGCAACAAAAACGGCTCCAGGATCGGAACTGGAGCCGGAACCGGTAAAACAACGGCGATGGAACCGGCAAAAAACGGCGTCGGAACCCGCAACAAAAACGGCAAAACGGAACAGGTAAAAAAACGGCCCTGTCGTTTCCAGGGCGCACTAATCTCCTCCTCCTCCTCCCTCTCCTCCTCGTCCTCCTCCCAGTTGAGCGTGGCAGCTCTCTTCAGAGGGCCCCCTTGAAGTCATAGCTCAAGCCTGGGCGACCGTCAGCCTCTGGTCGCTCTCGTTTGTGTCTGTGTTGATGGGTGCGCTCGATGATGCAACCATGAAGGCGTTTGTGGCTGAGGCAGACCCCTGCCACGAACGCCTGCATGGTTGCATCACCGAGCGCACCCATCAGCACAGACACAAACAAGAGCGACCATGAGGCTGACGGTCGCCCGAGGCTTGAGCTATGGCTTCAAGGTGGCCCTCTGAAGAGGCTGCCACGCTCAACTGGGGAGGAGGAGGAGGAGGAGGAGGAGGAGGAGGAGGAGGAGGAGGAGAAGAGAGGAGAAGAGAGGGCAAGAAAGCAGAAGTCAGGAGAAGCGAGGAGGAGGATGGCGGGGATGGCGAGGACGAGCAGGGCGGCGGCGAGGATGCGGCGCGCGCAGGGGGCGCGCCGCTCGGGCCTGCTGGCAAGTTGGGGAAGGGCCGCGCCGCGGGCAGCGCTGGCTCTGGCGGGGCGGGGGGGCGAGCGAAAGAGGCGCCGGTGCAGGCGCAGGTGGCGAACCCGGGCCCCCTCGCGTCGGGGGTTTTCTGCGCTCAGGTTTGCCTCTGGGGGCCCTCGCTGGGCCTCATCTCCAAAAAAAAACTACGCAGGAGGAGAAGCGGATCCCGGGGAATGGGTCGGGGCCTCTGGGCGTCGTCGCCTCGTCCCCAACGAGGCCGAAGAGGAGGAGGAAAAGGGAGAGGAGGAGGAGGAGAAGAAGGAGGGGAAGGAGGAGGAGGAGGAGGAGGAGGAGGAGGAGGAGGGTGAGGAGGAGGAGGAGGAGGAGGAGGGAGAGGAGGAAGAGGAGGAGGAGGAGGAGGAGGAGAAGAAGGCGAGGCGAGGCGAGGCGAGCGCCGACTCCGCTCCGCGCGCGCGCGCGGGGCGCCTCCTAGAGAGGACGGCGGTGGAGCCGTAGTTCCTCAGAGGAAATCCGTCCATCTCCTTCTGGGCCCATGTGGTCTCCTCCGGGCCCCTTGGCAGAGTTCTGGATCCCAGAAGTAAGCCTTGTAACTCCATTTGTCCGGGTTGTTGGTTATATTTCGTGTCCATTATTATTTCCTTTTCTGTCGTATGTCAACCCAACTATCATAGCCCACGTTTGCAAAAGACTGTTCCGCCATGTGGGTAGTACGTCGCACCCACTCCACCCAAGACTCCATGCAATCATTGCCGTCGCCGTTGCCTGTGCCGGTGCGCCGTTTCCGCGGCGAACCGATTATCATACGTAGCATGCGGCGTTGCTTGATCGGATTTGCTGTTCCAGACTGGCGGTCGTCGCCCATGACACACATCCATACAGCATTGATGGAGAAACCGTACCATTGAATAATTTGAATTTGTCGCGAAGCGTGTAAGCTCGAGAGAGCAATTCGTCCTTGAATAACCAAAACTTGTTCCACGCAGCTTGGATACGAGCGTCAATTTCTGCTTTCGCCGGGTCACAGAAAGTTAACTGTCGTCCCAAATACTTTTGTGTGCTGCTATATGCCAAAATCTCGATATCTGCATCTCCCACTTTTGTGTACTCAGGCGACTTCTTTGGACGTCGCGCCTCCAAATTGTGGAGGAACTTCGTCTTCTGTGGTTGTAGTTCTAGGCCTGCGCGACCGGCAGCCTCCATGATGTCTTGAAGCATCCGGCGGGCCTGTGTCAAAGAAGTCCCGAGGGCCAGGACGTCGTCAGCAAATCTCAATTCGTCAGACGCTTATCTGTGAAACGTTTGAATAATAGACCGAATAGACGGCACACCTTAAATATTTCCTCAGACAAGCAAGTGAAAAGTAATCAACTGAGCGGGTCACCATTTTTCGTCCCGCGCCCAATGGTACATCTCCTGCTTTCCACGTCAGTTTTTACAACAGCAGTTCAGCCTTGATACATGCTGGAGATGAGATGTTTGTATCCTTTGGGTACACCTTGCGATGACATAGCTGCCCAAAGTGACTTGTGAGATACGGTGCCGAACGCCTTCTTAAAATCCAATGTGGCTGCCCCTAAAGGAACTTGCTATTCCCATGTTTTCTCTTGTACGATTGTTAATGCAAACAGGTGATCGTCTGTACTGTAGCCTTTCCCGAAGCCGGCCTGCTCCGGAGGCTGGTGTCTGTCCAAAATTGCGTTTCAACCTGTTGTATAAGCGAAGTGAAAAGAAGGCTTGTACATCAAAGGTATGACAGAAATCGGGCGGCAGTTCTGTGGCAGGTGCGGGTCCCCACATTTGAATAATACTTTCACTTGCGTTTTTTTTTCCACTCCGACGGCGTGCATGCTCCCGGCTTGATGACATCAGTAAGAGGCTCAGCAGGGTGTTCCGGAAGGCGCGGCCGCTGTGTTTGAGCATCTCCGCGATTATGCCTGTAGTGTCTGCTGCTTTGCCGTTCTTGAGCTGTCTCATGCCGGTTTCCAGTTCCGCCATGGTAAACTCAGGGATTGGCTCGCCGCTCTGTGTGTTTGTGCCCATATTGATATGATGATCTCCGTCAGTGCACGTATACAAACTCTCGTAAACATCTGCAAATGCATTCGCCATTTCCCGTCGGTCGTACGTTATCTCCCCACTCTTCGTGTGCATTGAAGATAGAAGCGCTCGCTTTTTGCAACTTCTCATGCCGCTGATCTTCTTAAGCCCTCGAAGCTCCTCCAGGACGCATGCAATCTTAGCTGAACGTTTTGCGGGCTGTGTCACGCAAATATGCTTTCGGGTTCGCTTGCTGGCGTCCCTGCGCTCACCAGTGCACTCTTTTGGTATACTTTTGCGATGTTCGAGAAGCCGGGCAAGAATTGGGTCGGCATTGGTAGCTCGATCGTGGCATGAATGATGCGGAAGGCTGGTTTTCTCCATGGCGTCCCGAACCGAATCTACGATCATAGTGGCTTTCCGTCCCACGTCCGTTGTATCGGAAATTGGTGCAATTACGCTCTCTTCCAATGCATTCACATATTCAGGAAAGGAACCCGGTGGCCATTGTCGCACCCGCTTTGCACCGCGTCGTGATCGTAGCATTCGCGTGGCCGATTTTTGTAATATGGAGCTGCGTAGCTGTACCGCGATATGGTCAGACCCCATGTCTAAGACCGATGTTGCGCAGCAGTCTGTTGTCGTTCGCCACAAACTCCTCGACGCAAGAATGCAATCTAGCTGCTTGGGTCCACGCTTATTGTGGTAGTACGTAGGTAGATGATGTGGCTGTTTCTGAAACATTGTATTGGCAACAACAAGGCTTTCACTATTGGCCCATTGCTTCAACCATCGCCCCCTAGATGTTTCTTTCCCGTACGCGTGCATTCCACTTCCCTTGCAGTTGTCGTACTCAGTAGTTGGGCCAACTTGTGCATTGCAGTCCGCACCAAGTACCACGTGCAACCGACGCCGTTTAGCTGTCCCGGGTGTCACAGATATCGTGTCGTACATTGTCTGGATGTGCTTGTCGGCGTACTTCCCGTGTGGGAAATATGCTGATATGACTCTCGCCCGCAACTTTTTGGAGACCACGTCAACGTAAGCAACTCGTTCGTTTGCCGGGCAGAACCGTCTCACGTCGTTCGCCCACCTCGCATGTATTATAATCCCGACGCCATGCTTATAACCATCACCTCCAGATCCTGCGTACATGTGTCCTTCCATAAATGACCACTTTTCCTCTCTGATTGGCCTCATGGTTTCGTTGAGTAGTATAGCATCCCAGTGGGTGTCCGCCACCTCCCCAAATAACTCACCAAACCGTTCGTCACAAATGAGGCCCCTCACATTTTTGTGCATCGCAACAAATGGTGTGTCCATGCCGTGCAGTCGGCAACCGGAATCGGGATTGAGGGTCTGGCGGTCTCTTTCTCGAAGGTCGTAATCACACTGTCGATGAAGATCGTGTACAAGTTGTGGTGAAACGTACTTGGAGTCGGATTCTCCTGTCTCTGGAGTCGGATGCGTCGTAGCACGTCCGTAGTTGTCCTGGGGCGCGAACGGGGGACACCTGAAGGATAACGGAACGTCTCCAGGAATGCAGCGGCACTTCCCCCAGCCACCTCCTTTCGCACGTGTAGTTTTGGGTGTTTCCGATGTGTTTTCTTTGGGGTGCCCGGCAACGCAGGAACCACCTGACGCAGAAAACAAACAGTCACCTGAATGCGAGATTGCATGATTTGAGCAGGACTTTGTTATGTCAGCTGTCCGCGGTTGTGTTGCCCTCGTCGTGAAAGTAGTGGTATGAAAAAGGTACGTCTTCACCAGCAGTCCTGAGGAGTCTGGGCGGCCCTGCAGGGAAATCATTCTTTGCTCGAGTTGAGGCCCCCTGTCACCCCAAAGACTTGTCGAAGAAAGAGTGTTTGGGAGACTGCACAAAACTGTCCTTGAAGGTGTACCGTGAATACTTACACTGGCTTGGAGCCGTCGTCGGCGCTGGCGAGACGTCACTCGCTCTCCGTGTCTGGCTTCCGATGTAGTTGTTTCCTCCAAGCCTGCATTGCCTCATCTACCTCGTTCTTCACTGTCATTCCCGTTGCCGTTACTTGCCACATCCCCTCCCCGTCATACCATGCAACTTTCTTTTCCTTCCCCGTGCCGTCCTTCACCACAACCATATCCTTCGACCATATGATTTTAGCCTCGCGCTGTGGATGTCCATGTTGCTTGTTGAGGTAGTGTTTTGTGTAGCCCAGTCGTTTTTCACGTTCCCGTTCCTCTATCGTTAAGTTGTTCCTGAAGAAAATGTTCCCGAACACGTGCTCATCACTGTCTAATGCAGCCCTCTCCTTTTTCCAAAAAACGACCTTGGCCCTGGTACTTGGAAACTCGATCATACCCATCTGCTTAGGATTCGTTGTTCCACCAGTCGTGATTGTAGTCACCGTCGCATGGGTACCAACTCCGAGAAGTTGTTGAAGAAGCTGCTCCAAATGTTGGACTGCTGCCTGCGCCGTAGTAGTTCCTTCGAAACCAAAGGCAACGACCTGTTTAGCACGTACCTCCTTCTCTGTATCCTCCTTGCCTCCTCCCTCCTGGTCCACCCGTTTCCATGCACTGCTCCTGGAGGTTCCCTTCACGTTGTTCCTTACGTCCCAAAGCTTTGTGTCAATTATTTCTTCAATCTCGTTTTTGGTTAAGTATATCTCTTCCAGATCGTTCCGGATGCCCTCGATCTCCATCTCCACTTCCTCCATCTTATCCTGGACCTCCTCTGCTGCCCTCCTTGCATCCTGTGCCTCGATCCTTGCCCTGCCGATCATGTCTTTGACGCCGGCAACGTCGGTCTTCAAATCGTCGAACTGCTTTGTTCGGGTGCGGGCAAACTCCAGAAACCATTCTGGAGCTTTGTCGAGATACTCGTTATTGGTAGTACCTGCTGCACCTGCTGCTTCATCCATGAGTGCATCATTTGGTTTGGTCTTTTGCTTCTGGGGAGTCGACCCTGCTTTTGCACCTGAACGCTTACCTTTATTATCCATCCCTGCCCAGCCAGGCGCTACGAG